CCTCCGGCCTCCCCCACGCCCTCACGCCGGCTCCCGGACACACTCACCGTGCTGGGTGAAGATATTGAAGCCGGCCTCTGCGGTGCGCCCCGCCAGGTCCCGCCTGCGGCTGGAGGGCCTGGCTGCGCTGCTGCCCCGGATCCCGCGGGGTTGAGACTGCTGAAGCCCCGGAGCCTCCCCGACGCGGCCCACCTGCTGCCCCATCCCTGCACTTGCGTACTCCCGCGCCCCAGCCGACCCGTGGTCACATTCCTCCTCGGCTCCGGCCTCGGGCTCCAGGCGCTTGCTCCGCCCTCTCCTTCCCAGTCGAGGCCCCGGCCCTGAGCGGTCCGGCCACCGGCGTCTCCCCACCCGACTCCTCACAGCAGCCGCCGCGCTGCCTCTCGACGCCTCACAGATTCTCCTTTTCCCTCCCCATTCCGCGGCTCCGCGCCCTCAACGCTGCTGCCGCCGCCGCCGCCGCCGCCATCTTTAAACCACCGAGCACTGGGAGAGCGTGGGACAGAGCGTCTCCCGCCCCCCACCCGACCAGTCACCTCCGCTACTCGGAGGGAGGGCTTCCCGGCGGCCCCGCCCCGCCCCGGCCCGGCCCCGGCCCGTCCGCGCGCCCCCTTCTCCTCGGAGGGTGGGTTCGCCCCCGTCCCCCGCAGCCCCCGTACCTACCTCACTGGGACGTCTGCCGCTGCTTCAGGTCTTTCGGCCCTTCGGTTCGTTCGCGGCACCTTGGCCTCCCACATCCGAATCCGCCTTAGCCCCCCCTTCCCACGTTCGTTTCTACATGCTACCGCCTTTTTTAGGGTTGCCGGTCTAAAGCCTTCCCTGTCCCACCTCCACCTGTCAAATCAATCAGTCGCGCTGAGCGCCCCAGGTGCACAGCTCGCTCTTTAGCACGCACAGTTGGGACAGAAAAGCACAAGGCGTTTGGTGCTTGCCATCCAGGTGAGGCTCCCTAAAATGCCCCGGAGAATTCCTTTAAATACCCTCGTCACCAAGCCGACCCAGTCAAAAGTAAATGATATAAAATTTACATGAAGATAATAAAAAGGTACATTATTTCATTGTAATTTTTTGAAACTATTTCATAATGTTAAGTTGCACTCGCCTCGGTTGTCTGCACTCTACAGTCTCATTGGAGAAGCAGTTATGACCCGGTTCCTCCTATCGTATTACCATGAATTCCTCTTTAACTCCTTTACCGTGTAACCACGTGTGTTTCTGTTACCCTTACATTGCTTGACAGTAAAGCTAATCTTCCTACCGGCATGCTTTATATATAGTGCACGTGGTCAGGTCTCCTTTGATGACAAAGGAGAAAAATAAAACTACCTTTGACCCTGTTTCTGAATGAGAACTTATCTTTAACTTATGTTGTCTAAAGACAGTGACTCAGGCAGAAATGTTTTTAATGCGCGCACACATACATATATATGTATAACTATTCATTTATCATCTCCCCCCACTGAGCATTCTTGCATGTTAATATTGATCCAGTTTTTTACATTCTCAAAGAACTTGATAATTATTCTTTAGCTATTCGTTTAGCTTCCCTATTTCCTTTATAAAAAGCATCAACTATTGGAGGTACCACACTGAAAATTTGCTTTAAAGCAGAGGATGTGGGAGCCATTGCAAAGAAGCAATGAAACAACCATTGGGAAGATAAATTTCAGGGAAAAAATGTGGATACAGCTCTCCTTTACATGTCTTTCATAGAACCGGGCTGACCTTAAATGAACCATTAATACTCACTACTATAAAAATGCTCTGAAATTATTCCGTTGCCATCCAGGGTATGACCAGAAATAACTGAAATTGCCCACCAGATGGGAACAGAAACACTATGCTTTAGCACTGGATACAATATGAATTTTCCATTTGGTCAAAGTTTTCCTGTGTTTAAAATACTTTGCCTTTTCCTTTCCTGAAGTGTTGCAACTACTGGAAAAAAAATCATTGACAAGGGATAAAGATGGTCATAGAGCCATGATTTGATTTGTTGTTTGATTTTTATTATCTGAGAGAATTTAATTTGGGGGATAATGGTCTGGCTTCTCTAATTCTTTCATAGTATGTAATGGGTAAGTGTAGTATAGTGCGGTGGTTAAGGGAGGCACTTAAGTGCTTGAGGTCAAAACTGGGGTCAATATTTGTTTGCTCTTAGACAAATATTTAACCTCTTTGTGCATCAGTTCCTCATCTGTGAAGTGATAATGATAGCAACAGTACCTACCTCACAGGGCTGTTGTGAGAATTAAATTGGTTAATATACATAAAGCACTTAAAACATTATTTGGCATATAAAAAGCATCATACAAGCACTTACTATTAGTAAAAGAAATGTAATGTTTTCAGAAATCCACCAACTTTTCCAGGCCTAATTTTTTTCAAGTGGTATATGCTTAGATAATAGAACAAATTCTACAGTATTTATTCATGTGAGCCCCCATCCACCACCCGCCACCTTTATTTAACTAAAAACAAAAACACCAATCAATCAATAAAAACAGGTGGAATCATATATCACTTTATTAGTCATTCCTACCTGGTCATCACCAGTTACCTGCACATGTGAACTATTGCATGTGAAATATTACCTTTGTTTAGCATATGAATATTCCTCTACCATACAGTCTTAAGATCCTGCCTAGACTAAAGCAAATATCTTGTAAGTGGAGATGTTTTTCAAAGTGAAATGGGAATATTTCAGAATTGGGGGCGGGGGGGCGGTTAAAAGACCAGGGAGAAACCTACTTACTTAGGTGCAGGACACTATTTCATCTCAATGTAACCAAGCCCAAGTGACTCACCTGAGAATTACAATTAAACATTTAAAACGATTAAAACATTTAAAACAATCCCAAGTAGTATTAGCTCAAGCTGAAAAGAGGGCAGCTGTGAACTCCAGGCAGGTGCAGAAACCAGATGAAAAAAAGGAGCAGGGATGGTGCACAGTAGCACAGGGACAGCCTCACCTGAGCAGTGGCCAGGGGATGGCCCCCAAAATCAAACCCATCATCAACACCAACAAGGCACAATGAAGGCATAGATGCTCATCATCTTTACCTTCCCTATAATCGGAGTAATACCACTGTTTCCAGAAGCAGGGAACTGGTAAGCAGTGCTTCACTGATCCCTGTCTTTACCCATCTGGATTTCCAGGCTATTGCCACATCCTTATGTTTTCTCCCATATTAGTCAATATTTCTTTCTCTATGTCTATATGGATACTGTGTTCATTTAGACTCAGATCATCTCTCTGCTGGATTCTCCTGCTGCTAGCCTTTTCTTTCTAGGTTCCTCACCAAGCAATTCACTAAAACAAAAATACTTCTTCCTCTCATTGCTTTGACTGTGCTTCCCCTCCCCTTCATCATGTACAATGTCTAAATTTTTCACCTGATGTTTCAAAATTATTTCCCAGGATACACTGGATTATAATTGCCTAATGTTCATCAGCTCCTGTTCCTCAAATACCCACCCCTTCTATAGCAGGCATATATGTTTTATCCAATAGACCTATCTCTAGGATGTCTTCCTTTTAACTCTGACTTCTGCAATACTCAGATTCTCCCCAATATGGTGCCCAAATGACTCCCTTTACAGTATTCAGGGTTCTACTCAGATCCTGCCTCCTTCTTAAGAAAATCTCAGACTTATCCATAGAGACATAATAGTTTCCCTGTACTCTACTTGGCCCATACCTAAAACAACCACAGCTGGTTAACAATTATTTGCCTATAAAATTCAATTACCTCCCTCTACATCCCCCAAATGTGTTTAATTTTGACATATGGCTCAATGTCATAGGGTTAGAAAGAAACTTAGAGGTCATCTAGGATAATCTTCTGGAATTCCCTGTACAATAACTCCAATGAGGGAGCCCATTTATTTTGAAGAGTTCTAATTGTCAAAAAGTTCTTCTTAAAGGTAAACTGACACATGCCACCCTGAAACTTCCATCTGTTTCACCCCTGGTCCTAGTTCCACCCAGTAGCTACATAGGATAAATTTCACTTTTCTTCTACACAACAGCTCTTCAAATATTTGGGAGCTGTCATGTTTCTCAAAATCTTTTCTTTTACCTGTATAATGCATATGCTTGTATAGTTATGTTAATCTCTGTCTATATTATCTACGTGGGCTCAAAATATTTGTGTAGATAAATTGGAAGAAAAATGTAATTTCATATGTAGCATTTTTCTTCTTTTTTAGCTTTATTTTTATCTATTTATTTATTTTTTAACCCAACGTTTTATTTTATGGTACAAGTACAGAAATTTTTGCGGTACGTGGGCCTCTCACTGCTGTGGCCTCTCCCGTTGCGGAGCACAGGCTCCAGACGTGCAGGCTCAGCGGCCATGGCTCACGGGCCCAGCAGCTCCGCGGAATGTGGGATCTTCCCGGACCGGGGCACGAACCCGTGTCCCCTGCATCGGCAGACGGACTCTCAACCACTGAGCCACCAGGGAAGGCCCAGAAATTTTTTACTGAGGGAGGAATGCATTGAATTCTATACCTGTTAATTTTTATTTTGTTCTTATTATCCTTTCTATTTTATATATTTATATAAAACAGAAACTTTTAAACTAGTCATCAGTTATTGGGACTGCTTTGTGGTTTCACAGTTTTCACAAAACTTATACCATTTTATGGGCCAGCACATATCCAGTCATGTCCCTGGGCTTTGTATGCTTGTCTTCTCCTTGTTAGGTTTATTCCCAGCAATAGGATTACCTGTATCCAGAATGCCAATTGAAACACCAAAGATGGACATCATGACAATCAGTAACACCGCAGTCTTACAAAATGGAACAAGATAAAGACCAGTTGTGGTAGCGAACATTGACACCCCCAAAAGAAGAAAATGATTCATATTGTCAAAAAGAACTCCACCCTGTATGACAGACTCTAGGTCTATCCACCTCATTACAAATAGCTCAATTTCTTTTCTTTTTATGGCCGAGTAATATTCCATTGTATATATGTGCCACACCTAGAGTCTGTCATACAGAGTGAAGTAAGTCAGAAAGAGAAGGACAAATACCATATGCTAACACATATATATGGAATTTAAGAAAAAAAATGTTTTGAAGAACCTAGGGGTAAAACAGGAATAAAGACACAGACCTACTGGAGAACAGACTTGAGGATATGGGGAGGGGGAAGGGTGAGGTGTGATAGGGCAAGAGAGAGACATGGACATA